AATTTTCCACTTGGTGGTCCATTTATAAACAGCGTCGCTCGCTTTCTGTAGTTTCTGTGCGGCTGTTACTCGATTTGTGTCAGTTGACATTAATCCTATGTCATCCGCATATGTTGCTAATGTAACTTCTTTCGGTTGGGGTATATCACTGGTAAAAAGTAAATCCAGGACAGGACCTAGAACGCTCCCTTGTGGGACACCCGCTTGGATGGTCTTCAACTCTGAGTAAGCTCCTGATTGCAATCATTGCCACGGTGTCAGGTAGGATAGTCACGGGAGGCCTTGGTATATACAGGGTGGTTCGCTCAATCGGATGCAATGGAGTCTGTGACTTTACAGCCCCAAAACTCGCATTGGGTTTTGGAGTTTGGCAAATATTTCCTCGTCCAATGAAAGCCCGGGGAATTTAGAGCGTTTTGGGCCCTTGAAGTTTTTTCCATAAACGCCACGTTTACAAACAAATGAGTAATTGTAGTAATTGTTTGGCAACACAGTGTTGCTTGATTGGATCCCCATTATCAGTGTGATTTGCTTATACGGACACCTGATTCTGAATCTTCGTGAATTTCCACGTATGGTTGTGGTAACATTTTACCTAGTTTGTAGACCAGCCCTTCATGCCATACTTTGTCGAAAGCCTGCGATACGTCGAGGAATAGTGCTGAACAGAGTTTCTTTTCTTCTAGTGACTTCTCTATTACATCAGTTATTCGGTGCACTTGATCAATTGTAGAGTGGTTTGATCGGAATCCAAATTGGTGATCGGGAATTAACTTTTGTTTCTCTAATATTTGTTTAAGTCTTTTCAGCAATAGTTTTTCAAAAAGCTTTGATATTATTGGCAAGAGGGAAATTCGTCTATACTAGACTTAACATCGTGTTGAGGTTTACCAGGCTTGGGGACCATGATGACTTTAGCTATTTTTCACATTGCCGGTACATGTTTAATCCTGATTGAGGCGTTAGATAGATGTGTTAACATCAGTATTCCCTTTTTTGACAGTTGTTTCAGGATTTGTCCTGTAATTAAATCAAACCCAGGAGCCTTTTTTCGGTTGAGATTATTATGAATTTCTTCTGCTACTTCTTTCGGAGTAACAGGAGCAATCATGTCGATCGAATTGAAGGACAAAATATTGTCTGCAACCGTTGGGTTATTGTGTTGGTTGTAGTGTATGTCGTTTGGTACAAATACGCCTGCCAGATATTCAGCAAATAGATCCGCTTTTTGTTGATCATCACGAGCCCAATCGCTTAGTCCCTTTCTAATAGGCGGTATTGACACAACTGGTTTTATAACTTTCTTTGTAACCTTCCACAAGGAATATTCAGTTTCTTTATCTGCCGATAAATTTGTAATAAAGGAATTTAAAGAACTCTGTTTTAATTTGTAAATTTTACGTTTTAGCTTTTGAGTTTGTCTATTTAATGATGATTGTCGCTAGGATGACGTGTTTGTTTCAATCGTCTTCTTGCTTTTTTTTCTCTTTGACTTAAATCCGAATTTCAACCGGATAGTTTACTCCTTTCGTGATGTGAGTAATTTCTTTGGTGTTTTTATAAGCAACTGTTTGCAGCAGAGTCGTAAATTTATCAGTTTTTATGTCGAGTTGTTCGGCTGTTCGAGTTGTTCGGCTGATTTCCTCTTGTAGGTCAGCTTGGAAGCACTTCCAATCCGTTGTTTTGTTGGTGAGTGTTGACTTGGCTTCCCTTTTAATGATTTTCTCACTTATAGTCATGACTACTGCTGAATGGTCTGATTCAAGGTCAAAGCAGTCATTAATTTCGATGTAATTCGATGATACTTTTCTGGAGATAAAAAAATCCAATAAATCTGGGATTTTCGTCCTATCCGCCGGCCAGTAAGTTGGTTTTCCCGTGCAATGAAAGTTCCCGCTCCTATTTCTAATAGCTTCTCTCAACACTTTTCCTTTTGTATTTGCTATTCTTGCGCCCCAACCTACGTGTTTAGCATTAAAGTCTCCTCCTAGTATGAATCTTTGTCCCATACGTCTTAATATAAACGAATAATCGTCTATTTTAAGATAATATCTCGGTGGTATATAAATGGCTCCAACTTAAAAATTTTGTTTTGTAACTTTTATTTCTACTGTAGTTAGTGGTGTACTCACCTGTTGGATTGGAAGTTCTTCATGATGATTAATTGACTCTTTGATGAAAATGGCACTTCCTCCCTTGGCTTGGTTGTCGGGATGGATGGAATGATAACATTTGTAACCGTGTATTTTAACAAATGATTGATTGGTGAGATGTGTTTCTGAGACTAAGCAGACATCAATGTGTTGACTATGCAGAAATACTTCCAGTTCGGCTTTTTTACCAATTATACCATTGGCGTTCCAGGTAACAATTCTTATTTCTTTGGTATTCATTATTTATTTCTTTTTGGAATAGCGCCTGTTCCTTTTGCCTCCAAAATATTGAGTCTATCATGGATTATTATCATTCTTCTTCTAGCGTATCCATCATTGGTTGCATCATGTCTTGAACAGAGTTTCTTTCAATTAGGTTCGATGCTTCTTGGGCGGGTTGCGGATTTTCATTTTTCCTAGCAGTTTCAGCATAGGGTTCTTCTCTATGCTTAGGGGGCCAGCATTTATTGCTGCATTTTTCAGCGATCGCCTTTTATCTTGATCTCTCTTCTGTTGTAATGCTTTGGCAACAGTACATCCTCTAAAGTTAGCTGGGTGCGCTTCACCGCAGTTGGGGCACTTAGCTGGAGTGATTTTGGGTTTAGTACATGACGCAGTAAGATGATTCCCAGCACTCTTGACACACACTGGTACTCTTGTGCAATATTTTTGCGGGTGTCCAAATCTTTGGCACTTTTTGCATTGTGGAATCAGTTGGACTGTTTTGAGTGATTCCGCAATAATTTTCGAGTTAGCTAGATATAGTATTTCAAATACTTTTTTAAGGTCTTCAACATTTTCAAAAGTTGCTATAAATAATGGCAAACTTGATATATTCTGTCTTCTGGTTCCTCGAGATTCTCTTTAGTTTATTTATAACACTGATTGCTTTATGGCCTTTTGCTTTCAGCTTCTGTAATAGCTTTTCAGTGCTACACGACAGGTGAAAATTTTTAACCATTACTCTAACCGGTCTTTGTTGTTTATTTTCATAAGAATGCCATTCTTGCTTTTCTTCATTTAGTATTTCTGTCAAATCTCTATATTCTTCTAGGGTTTCTACATTGAACTTCATCTGGTTATTATTCAGTAGTGCGGCATTGAATTTTATTTTTTTACTATTCAGTTGGCTTTTTATTTTGTTCTAGTCTACAATATTACTAACAACCACCGGGGGTGGCCTTCGAATTTTCGCCTGTATATTTTGTTCCATTTCAATGGGACTTGGTTTCGGTGAAGAAAATCTGTATTAAGTCATCTGAAAAGGCTTGCTGCCATCATTAAAGCTAATGACAACTGTACAAAATATTAGACTTTAAGGACATAACAAGTGTTCAAAAGCAGTGTTAGTGTATGAATACTTTTTTCATATAATTTCTGATTCCAAATGTCATTTCATATTTTATTGTTCAAATAAAGCGTTTCAAATGACCTTATTATTAATTTTATTACTTCTAAAGAGCCTGCTAACATTTCATTTTACGATTTTTCTAATTGAACTTAAATAAAATAGCAAACTAAGGAACAATATTGAAAAATAACTACAGGTGTTAAAGATAATTGCAGCAGAGCCTTCCAGGAGAACGCGGAGCATTGCACAACTGACACTTTTCCAGCTACCGGATAATTGTCCTGATATCTCTCCCGATGAAGGGCTACACTCCTATCATGCATGTAACATACATAGGACACTAGAACACATTAAATCTCTGATCTTTCTAACCCCGATACAACTTGAGCAGGAGTTAATTAGCCGAATAGGAGCAGCTGCTGAAAATATGAGCCCTGAGTTAAACGACCACAACTTCGAACAACTCTTGTGATTTAACTTAATTGTATTTT